CTTCTCTGTGCATTTGTTTGTTGTTGGGCTCTTAGGTTGTTTCCAACTCTTTCCTATTGTGAACAAAGCTGTGATAAACATGTGTGTGCAAATATAGCAACTGAGGCTGCTTTTCAGCCCAGTTATTCCCCAAGGCTGAGTCATGTCTGTGTGATGTTGGACACACACTGTAACTTGTGTTAACACTTCCAGGTCAGGGGGCAGCCCTCCAGTGTCTTCATGCATCAGGCCCTCCAGTGTCTTCATGCATCAGAAAGGCATTCACTGCACTGGATCTCAGGGGCTCAGAGTTAAAGCGTATCCTCCCCCCCACCCTCCACCTTGCGGGGCCTCGTGGAGGGCGTGTGTTTCATTCCTGATTATTTCATTTCTAATTTCTGCCGCAGTCTGTTGAGGCTTTTGGCTCTGGAAGTAAATATGAGTTGAAAGCAAGGCATAGTCCTCAAATGTCTTAAATTGACCTCTTTAGTTTATGTGTGATCAATGGGCCCCAGAATCAGTCAGAGTGTGGCTTCCTTCCCCTAACCTGCCCTCCTTGCCAGTTTCATAGTCATCTGACGTGAGTTTCTCAGCATCCAGGAAGATGGGAGCAGCACTGCAGTGTAAGGCATTGTTACATGGACTATAAGTGGAAAAAGCACAAAGCAGGCTCAGGAATAGTTTAGAGATGGGAACTGCAGGGAGTGGCTTCCATTGGTTGTTGTTGTTATGTGCTGTTGAGTCGCTTGCAACTCATCGCGACCCTATGTACAACAGCCCTAAATTCTCCTCTATCCTGTGCCAATCTCACTGTCTGTGATACACCCACCCCAATTACCCCAGTCACTGAATTAATCCACCTCATAGAGGATCTTCCCCTCATGCCCCGTCCCTCCACCATCCCAAGCATGATGTCCTTCTCCAAGGACTGGTCCCTCCTTACAACTGTTAGACGAAGCCTCAGAATCCTTGCCTCCAAGGAGCAGCCTGGTTTAACCCTCTCTAGGATGAATCTGTTTGTTTTCCTAGCAGTCCATGGTATTCTCAATACACTTCTCCAGCACCACAGCTCAAAGGCATCAATTCTCCTTCTATCCTCCCTAGTCATTGTCCAGCTTTCTGACGCATAACATGTAGGAGAACTAAGGGATGAGGCTGGGATTATTGGAACCTAGACGTTTGGAGCAGAAACTCACTGTAATAGATGCTCTTCTGTGCTATCCTCTGGTTGACCACTCTCCGCTGCCGCTTTTCTCCAGGAATTGCCCCTGGTTGGGAAGAGTCAATTTACCCAAGAGCACACGACTTTGTGGGGCAATCGAGCACTGGTCTGCGTAGATGTACAGTCTTGATGTCTCTGCCTCAACGGGGACAACGCTGCAGGACCGTCCTGACCTTGGAGCTCCTTGTGGGGTTGGCAGGACCCTCGGATGACACTACCACAGCCCGGCTTCTTCCTTGTCCAATCCTACCCTTGTGCCTTCTCAGCCAGGAATGCGGGGGACAGTTCTCCCTCGCAAACCTGTGTACAATCATGAGCTCTGGAGGCTAGCACTTGGGGAGCTGCTAACGCCGCCAGGGCCACATCTCTCTCTGCTGGTTTGACTCCACCAGCGTCTCCACTTGCGATGGGCAGTAGAAAAAGCTGCTATTGAAGAGGCCTTCAGTTAACACTCAAGCTCTTCGCCGTGGAAGTGGAAATGACTCACAGCTGACCCTCACTGGGTTTCTAAAGCTGTAAATCCACAGAAGATGCTCACCCATCTGTCTTCCTTGGAACTGCTTCTGGACTACATAGGCCTCCAGAGCACTGGTAGACGCCTCAGGATTGGTAAATAGTTACCCTGTACAGTCTTGTATGGGGACACTTGTGGCACAATGGATAAAGCACTGTGCTTTTAACCAATAGGTTGTTGGTTTGAACTGATCAGCTGCTTCACAGGTGATGAAGCCGTCTGCTACTGTAGAGATGTCCTTGGAAAACCTCAGGGGCAGCTCTGCTCTGTCGTTTTAAGGTCTACGAGTCAGCACCAACTGGGTAGCTGTGGTCTTGCTGTCACATAACTGGGGACCTTCGAGTCGGAACCAACCCATAAGCTTGTTCTGTGCATTTTCAGAGGCGGTAAATCCTTCGGGAAGAGAATGCCCATCCTCTCCCGTGGAGCAGTTGGTGGATGCCAGCGGCACGCCTTTGGGATTACATCACAGCTTCTTACACTGTCCAGATTCTCACTCACAGGCGAGACTGTTACGTTTTGAGTCTGTTGGCTTGAAGGTGATTGCGGGGTATGTGTGGGGGTGGTGAATTAACTTCTAGGGTAGAGGGGTGTTTTAGTGCCATAATCTTAGGAACGTCCATCAGTGTCATTAATTTCCTCTTGTGGGAGAAACTCCCATGAGCCGTAATTTAACGCAAGTGTTCAAATGAAATGGAGAGGTTCAGTTTAATAATATAATTAATAGTGACCATTTAGGAACGCATCTAAGGGGCTATGTACTGTGCCAGGCTTTGTCATTTTCTCAGGCAATCCCCAAACAATCTCATGGTGTACCTATTACCCATCTCAATATCACTTGTACGAATAATCAAAGCTAGAGTAATATGTAATTTTTTAAAAACTTTTTAATTATTATTTGTGTATGTGTATACCATCAAATCAGATATGACTGGTATAAGAGGAGATTGTCCCTCCTTCTCCAGCAGAGCATCTGGTGGATTCGAACCACAGAGTTGATATTTTTAACAAAAATGAAAGTATAGTTACCTTGCCTATTACACTAAGAACATAAGCTCCTCAACACAACGCACAGTGCTGGCCCCCTGGCCCTACCTACCCCACCGAGTTCCTCTCCCAAGGCCTTCTTCATTGCTTCTTCTGATTTAACAACTTACCTTTCATTGGCTTCTCAAACACAGCCACTCTTTTGTGCTGTCCATTTCCTGTCTCTGGAAATATTTTCCTCTAGTTATCAGAGATCTCAGCTCATATGCTGTCTCTTCAAAAATGCCACCTGTCCCACCTCCATTTCATTTCCTTCAGTGCATGTCTCAATATTTGGAATGGCCCAGCTTGTTCATTTGTCTCTGACTGTGTCCCTTCTCTATAGGACGCAAGGCCCAGGAAAGCAGGAACCTTCTCTATCTTGCTCCCCCCATGTGTCTAAAACAGCACCTGGGGAGTTTTAGGTCAGAATGAATATCTGTTGCATGAATGAAGAAATCCCTGATTTTCTGATAAGAAAAATGGGGACCTCAAGTAACTCGAGAAGCAAATGGCAGAGCTGGGATCTGAACTCATGGTTCTCAAAGGCTGTGGGTCTTTCATGCACCAGCTTGCTGGGGAACTTGGGAAAGCACACTGTCTGTATCTTGATGCCAAGCTCGGTGATCTTGCCTTTAGTCCAAGTACAGTTCACCACATCCCTTCCACTGGCAAATACTAATGACTGAGTTGCAATGAGAGAATCCCCATGACTGCTTTTCTGTCACATTTCAGCATTAAAAAAAATACAAAAAAAATTGGAGTGCTTTTATAGTGAACGAATACTTAAAACCATGTTTCTGTCACTCTCAAAATTCTTACTAAACTTAGGATAGATGTTCTGTAGTTGATGGGGTCCTAGAATCCTCAAATAAATTGCAACACAAGCCCGCAATTGTTTTCCAGAGAGCAGCAGGTACTTAGAATGAGGAGTGGAAATTCTCACTTTCCCTTGGGCTGAATCCTTTCTGTTTTACACAGACGTGGTACAGAGGCGCATCAGATATTTATTTTGTTGTTAATGGTATATTGTTTTTCTCCCTGCCTATCTTCCTGATGGAATCTGGGACTCGAATAAAACAAGAACATAGAGATATATCTAGATTTGTTCTGACAAGTTTCATATCACTGAATACACTTGGAGAAGAAAATTTGATCTTGAGAAAAATTACATTGAGAGTTCCAGCTGCTATTATAGAAACCACACAGCACAGCAAATATGATGCTTTCTCTATTGTGGTATCTGTGTAATTTATGTCAACAGAAAACCAATAATTTCATCATGATCAGAAAGTAAATTTCACATGAGAAATCTCAGATTCTCTCCTGATCTGATAGAAGGAA